GGGAGGGGGAGGGGGAGGGGGAGGGGGCCGGAGATGGTGGCGGCGGCGGCGGCGGCGGCGGCGGCGGCGGCGGCGGCGGCTCTTCCGACATGAGGCAGCGGCAGCGGGAGGCACGGCGGCGGCCGCGGCCGCGGCGGCGTCGCTAGCTCGGGAGGCCGCCCCGGGCGTGGGCGGGCGGGCGTCCCGGGTCGGCGTCGCGGGAGCGGGCTCTGCGGCAGCGCCGCGCAGGGCGGCCGGCTGAGGGGCCAGCGCCCGCCGCGCCCTGCGCTCGGCGCCCGGCGTCTCCCGGGGCGCTGGGCATCCCCGCCCCGCTGGGTCGGCCCCGGAGGCCGGGAGCAGGCCCCGCTAGACGCGCCGCGCCGACGGGGGCGACCGCGGCGTCGCGGGCTCCTCAGACTCGCGCCGGCGCCGGGGCCTCGCTGCCGCTCCTCAGAGCGGGCCCGCAGCCTCCCGCGGGGCCGCCGGCCTTTGACGCAGGGGAGGCGCCGCTCCGCGCGGCATGAGGGGCCCGCCGCTGCCGGCGAGAGAGCCGCGCGGGCGAGAGCGGCTGGCGGCGTGAGAGGGCTCGGCTGGACTTGCCTCCGCGGCCGCGGCGGCCGGAGCAGGCGAGTGCGCGGGGCGGGCGGCGCGGGGGGCCGTGGGGGCGCCGCCGCCTCGCCGGCGCGGGGCTGCCGGGTCCATCCCGACTGCTGCGGGCGGCCCCGGGGCGGGACGGCGGAAGCCGGGCTTAGACGTTAGCCGCAGCTTTCGCGAGCGTGTGGTGCCTCCGCAAGTGGACCGCCCGGGCCGCCGCCGAGCACACCGGTGGAGCTCGTGGCCTTCAGGTGCGTGCGCCTGTGTGGGAATCGGTGCCCGTGTAACTCCGGTCGTCTTCGCCGACAGGTACCAGAGCCCCCGGCCCGGAAGGTTCCGAGCGCTCGGCAACATGGCTTCCCCGCCCCACCAGCAGCTGCTGCCGCACCACAGCACCGAGGTGAGTTGTGACTCCAGCGGAGACAGCAACAGCGTGAGGGTCAAAATCAACCCCAAGCAGCTGTCCTCCAACAGCCACCCCAAGCACTGCAAGTACAGCATCTCCTCCAGCTGTAGCAGCTCTGGGGACTCAGGGGGCGTCCCCCGGAGAGTGGGCGCTGGAGGCCGCCTGCGCAGGCAGAAGAAGCTGCCCCAGCTGTTCGAGAGGGCCTCCAGCCGGTGGTGGGACCCCAAGTTCGACTCGGTGAACCTGGAGGAGGCTTGCATGGAGCGCTGCTTCCCGCAGACCCAGCGCCGCTTCCGGTATGCGCTCTTCTACATCGGCTTCGCCTGCCTGCTGTGGAGCATCTATTTTGGCGTCCACATGCGGTCCAAACTGATGGTCATGGTAGCCCCAGCTCTGTGCTTCCTCGTCGTGTGTGTGGGCTTTTTTCTGTTTACCTTCACCAAGCTGTATGCCCGGCATTACGTGTGGACCTCTCTGGTTCTCACCCTCCTGGTGTTCGCCCTGACCCTGGCCGCCCAGTTTCAGGTTTTGACGCCTCTCTCAGGACGTGTTGACAGCTCCAATCGTACCCTCGCAGCCAAGCCCACAGACACTTGCTTATCTCAAGTGGGGAGCTTTTCCATGTGCATCGAAGTGCTCTTTTTGCTCTACACCGTCATGCACTTACCTTTGTACTTGAGCTTGTTTTTGGGAGTGGTCTATTCTGTACTCTTTGAGACCTTTGGCTATCATTTCCGAGACAAAGACTGCTTTCCCCCACCTGGAGCATGGGCGCCGCACTGGGAGCTGCTGAGCCGAGCCCTGCTCCACGTGTGCATTCACGCCATCGGGGTCCACCTATTTATCATGTCCCAGGTGAGATCCAGGAGCACCTTTCTCAAGGTGGGACAGTCAATTATGCATGGAAAGGATCTGGAAGTGGAAAAAGCCCTGAAAGAGAGGATGATTCATTCTGTGATGCCCAGGATCATAGCTGATGACCTGATGAAACAGGGGGATGAGGAGAGCGAGAATTCAGTCAAAAGGCACGCCACGTCCAGCCCCAAGAACAGGAAGAAAAAGTCTTCCATACAGAAAGCCCCCATAGCATTTCGCCCTTTCAAAATGCAGCAGATCGAAGAAGTCAGTATTCTGTTTGCAGATATCGTGGGCTTCACCAAGATGAGTGCCAATAAGTCTGCTCATGCCCTGGTGGGTCTCCTCAATGATCTGTTCGGTCGCTTCGACCGGCTGTGTGAAGAGACCAAGTGTGAGAAAATCAGTACTCTGGGAGACTGCTACTATTGCGTGGCGGGGTGTCCGGAGCCCCGGGCCGACCATGCCTACTGCTGCATTGAGATGGGCTTGGGCATGATCAGAGCGATCGAGCAGTTCTGCCAGGAGAAGAAAGAGATGGTGAACATGCGCGTCGGGGTTCACACGGGGACCGTCCTCTGCGGCATCTTGGGCATGAGGAGGTTCAAATTCGATGTGTGGTCCAACGATGTGAACTTGGCCAATCTCATGGAGCAGCTGGGAGTGGCGGGCAAGGTTCACATTTCCGAGGCCACAGCAAAATACCTAGATGATCGGTACGAAATGGAAGATGGGAAAGTTACTGAACGCCTTGGCCAGAGCGTTGTTGCTGACCAGTTGAAAGGTATGTGCGCTTCTTTGCCTCGTCATCTCCCTCCCCAGTCCTGTTTGTGTTGAGGAAAATAAAAACCAAACAATCTTTTTCTAGTGTCAGTATCTGGAGGCAGATCAGTTGTCTCAGGATACCTCACCATGGGGGCATCTCGGGGCTGGTGAGACTTTGCCTCTGGTGAGTCAGATATCACAGATCTGTTCCCACAGTGCTGACCGAGATGAGATCTTGAGGAGGAAGGAGAACTTTGGAAATGTGTATCCTGCCGGTCAGATGTTACTGTTTCTGAAATTCTGGGGGCAGGTCCGATGAATGTAGTGGGGTGTGGGGGGGGCGTCAGAGCCTGTCAGCAGGCAGAACTTTGAAGTACTTTAACAGATTGTCTTTCTGTTTCATTTGATTGCCCCGAAATCCCATCAAAACTTTTCTCCATGCCTTTTTCCAGAACTGTGAAGAATAAAACCTTTCTCATCTTGAGGCCTCACTTTGCTGGAACAAGGAAGTTGCTTTAGCCCTGCAGGACTCTTGAGAATTAGATGGAATTATATACCTTCAATACATACTGCCTTCTCCTAGATCTCTTTTTTAAAAATGTATTTTTAGCTTTCAACTTTCATTTTTATTGTGATATTTCTCTTACCATACAGACTGCAGCATTTTATAAATCTACCCGGAGCAGTGTTTAGACCCCCTATCCCCAAACCCTTGGATTTGTATCTGGTCTCTTGTCTCGGTCTTAAGCTCTTACTGCTGTTCTTGATATTTTCACTGGGCTTTTATTTTTCTTATTTTCACAAAGGACAAAAATTTCTGAGGCCTGGGAAGTGATGTATAAGTAAGGGGGACCAAAAGTAAGGATTCGAAATACCTAACCCCCATCCCACCCCCCTTTTTTAAAAACAGTCCTTATGTTTTACTAAAATCTTCTAGGTTGGGGAGGGAACATTTTGGAAGTATGTAGAGAAAATAATACTGATTCTTAAAAGTCAAAATTTGTAAAGCTTGTTGTGTTTTGTGGTGCTCATGCGTTGCATGATGACACAGTGAAAAGCTCCAGGAAAGAGTTTGTCGTGAGAAGGAACAGCTTAAGTCAGAGATGAGAGCAGTGATAGTCTCAGTCAGAGACAGTAAGTGGTTGAGTGAGGGGGTCTGAATAGGTTGTCAGGCTTGACATCATCCTATATGCTCAACTGGTATTTTGTTTCTCTGCTTGTGATTAGAGTTCCCCATGTCATTTACTTTCTACTTGGTCATAGCACTTTATCCTTCTCCTGACTTTTCTTTATTAGTTTTGCTAGGAGTTGAAGAATTTACAGATGTAAGTAGAACACTACTGATACTTCCCTCTGTCTAGAGAACTCTAAAAGATGCGTTGAGGAGGTCAGAAACTACACCTTACACTTCACTTGAGAGGCTCTGCTGTGGCGATTGTCTTTCCCTGTAGGAGGGTGACTCTTGCTCTCAGAGTCGTCAGAGTCTACAGATGCCAGTGGCGTGTGGGGCGGATGTAATCCCTGCTTGACACTTTGGTATCTTTAAGATCTGAGTGTTGCAGGCTCTGTCCTCAGGGGTTGTGGGACAGATTCCAGAGAACGGAGCTGTGCTGTATGACATTATGACAAGGATAGCAGTTTTGTAAGTGGTAGTCTGAACAGTGTGTTTCTTGAATATCAAGAATAAAAACAGATGTAATCGTTAAGTAGGTCTGGAAGGCGCCGAGTCTTTGAATCTTCCGCAGTACCCATTCTTGTTAATTTGTGGGTAATTTTATTTTCAACTTCAAGTCAAGTGTCTCAAAGACAGTGAAAAAATATGCTAGAAGGGGGTCTATTGATTTTTTTTTTAAATTTCAAATAGTGTACATTTGGTAAATTAACTTTTTCTTTAAATTTGTGTATGCTGTATATTGAAGGGGAAAGTTTTACTAGATGGGAGGTAGGGAAAGGTGGAAGGCTTAACTAAAAAGGTGATATTTTTATATGGTATTCCCTTCTTTAACTGTTTCCCTGAGACAATGATTTTTGCTTTATTCAGCTCATTTTGAAAACCTTTGTGGACAGGACTCCAGTAATATAGGATGTCTACACAACTTCCTGCCTCTGTTTGAAACTGCCCAGTTCTGTTCTGTCATTGTCCAAATCCACTAAATTGAGAAGATAGCACAGTTTGTAGAGAACCCTTTTTATACACGAGGTTAAGGTTGTGTTTTTAAAATTTTCATACTTACCCGGAATACCATGATCACGAAGGTGGTTTTCCCAGGGTAAGTCTTATCTGTAGTACTCCAGAGGTGCTGACCCCTGTGATTTCCCCAAATGTGGGAAACTCGACTTCATACTTGGGAGTGGTGGGGGACTGCATTTGCATTCTCCCCTGTTTTAAAAAAATAAGTAAGTAAAAACCCCAAATTTCTTTTAGCCTGTCTTGCGGTTTGTGGAGATACTTTCTCTCTATAATGTTGGGCGTAGCCTTTACCTCTCATCCCCTTTTCTGATAAGGGGGTTAAAAATACCCAGTAGAGGACTCAGTAGGCTGGGCTCTCCAGAACTAGCCTGGCAGCATGGAAAGTAGCTCCTGCTCTGTAACTTATCTGGAACGGTTTGCGGGAGGCTGGACTTCCATTATTCCCGCTCATTCACTCACTCCCTGGAAATCTTCAGCATGTTCTTATCACGCGCCCCTTGCCGTGGATGAGCTCATGGAGTGCCGGCAGTTCCTGACCTCAACAGGCTTACAATTCTAACTGTGGTAGCGTGTGTGGAGAGTCAGGAACCCTGTATGGGGGCTACATACTGAGGTGGGTCTTGAGACCTGGTGGTGGGTCTCCAGGTAGATAAAAGAACATTCGGTACAGTGGGTGTAGCATGAGCCAAGGCTCAGGGTTGTGTTTCCCTGTGGGCTGTAAGTATGGTACTCCATAGCGCAAGGAAGGGTGTGGATCACACAGAAAGGAGTTTGTGTTCGATTCTGGACATAATGGGGAGCCGCTGATGGGCTTTAGGCAGGAGGCTTAGGTGATATAATTTGCAAATTTAGAAGGCTTAGTTTTTCAGTTCTGGGGAATGTAGGTTGGAAGGGAATGAGATGGGAGATTAGAGAGTTGTTGCCATAAATCCCAGGCAGGGGTGATGGCAGGCTTAGCTGGGGTGTTGACAGTGACAGTGGAGTAGAGCAGAGAGGAGCAGGACCAGGATGGACTGGGTAAGAAGTAGAGCCAGAATGAAGCAGACAACTTGGGGGGTGAGAGGCTCGGTTGTCTGAGTGGGATATGGCCTTTCAAGGTTTCTGGAGTTGACATTGGAGACAGTTTGCAGTCAAGAATGAGTGAGACCTTTGAAGTTTCTGTGGTATGAATGGAGAATGCAGAATCTAGTTGAAGAATATGAGACAGTCCAGGAGCCCCTGGCTTGTTCATTCATTTGTTCAACAAGAAATTTATTTTGTGCCGGGCAGAGTTCTAGGTGCTAGGGATACAGCAGTGAACAAAACAGACTAAAATTCCTGCTCTCGTGGCATGTCACTGTGCAATGAAACAAAGTTCTCAGACACCAATCTGAGAAGCCATGCAGGGCTGCTTCTCTGCAAGGGAGAGCAGCAGTGGTGTTCTGTTCCAATAGGGCAGTCAGACAGTAAAGTAAGTGAAATATAAAATTTCTTTTGCATTAAGTTTTAAGGAGAAACAAAGCAAAAAGGAGGATATGGAGTGTGTGTGTGTGTGTGTGTGTATGTGTCTATGTGTGTTGGTGTGAAATTTTAGGTAGGGTGGTCAGACACTGAGGGAGAAGGTCGAAAGAATTTTCAGCACGAGATTAGGACTTAGGAAATGATCCAAAAAGTAAGAGGCAATTATTATTAAAGGTAGGTAGAAATAGTGTGATATGAGGGATGGGAAGAAGCATCTTTTTACACCATTTGGGACAAACCACTGGGCCCAAAAGGATACTGGCTGTTCTGCTCTGCCTTGAGCCACAAGCCAAAAAGGTGAGGAGGATCGTCTGGAACTGTTTGTTTTTTTTTTTTTTTTCCTTTTTTCCCTCCTGTTATAGATAGAGTCACAAAGACAGAAGGTGAAACTGTCAGCAGATATCTATAAATGTCTTATTTTCCCCTCTGAAATATTAGGAAGCTGCAGCAGGGTGCGCAGTCATTCCAAATCGACAGCAACAACCATGTCTTTATAAAGGGAATATCTGGTAGCCATTGCCAACCTTTTAGGCTCATGAGCCACGGGGGGAAAGATCTGCTGATGTGCACTGGGCAGATCGTCACCCGCTGGCCACAGCAACCGAGACCTTCCCCAGGTGCTAGTAGGTGGCTATTTAGAAGAGGTCCTATTTGGCCCCCTTCTGGGGCCCTTCCTCAAACTGAAGGTGGGCTGAGGCACTCTGAGCGTTAGCCTTGCCAGTGGCTGTCCCAAACTGGCAATCTGGGCCCCCTCGTTCCCTGCCAGCTGGCAGCTAACAGCCCCACTCAAGTACCAGTTTAGGTGCAGTTTGCTTGCTCAGTTAGTCTCCTTGCTTCACCGGACAGCGTGAATAGCTTGTCCCCACCGAGCATGGACTCGTGCCACTGGAGTGCTAGCCTACGGCTCACTGCTTCCTCTGTAGTCAGGTCAAGAGATCCTCTGCTTGCCTGCATCCTAGAGCCGGCTGTCTCGTGCTTGTTGAAACATAGCCTTGGATGGCAAGTGGCAGAGGCAAGATGAAGCAGAAAATTTGACTGACAGCCGAGATTGGAAACGACAAAGAGCTGTGGAGCTGATGCTCACGCAGCCCCTGGTGACAATGTATTCCGGCTTCTTTAGGCCAAATTACATGCCTTCCAGCAAAAAGCACACAGTGTTAATTTCAAGGACCAGCTTTTGAGCAGAATTAGCCTTTAGCAAAGAAAGTTAAGGATATGGTTTGCTGAATGGCAGGTGGAATGAAGAAGGAAGGAGGGTAATCATTTAGGTAGAATTAACAAAGGGAAAAATTAAAAAGAAGCAATCAGCATAAGTAAAGATATTTCAG